GAGGAGCGTGGGGAGTCGCGCAGCGTCGTGCGCGTCCTCTTTGTGTGCAAATGGCGCACGGCGCGACCCCGTTCCCCGATCCGCCACGCGCCGCCTCATCGCTCTCCGCTGGCAGCGCCCTCCAAAGGCTCTCGCCCCGCAAAGACCATTTCACGCTCTGGCGTCCGCCACTAGGAGCGTTGATTGATTGATTGATTGGGGTTTCCGGGCGTGTCAGATGCTTAAGTCGTTATTCCCGTGAGTGTAGTGCGTGTTATTATCGCAGGAGGTGGCGGTGGTCTTTTCCCCGCTGGATGGGGAGATCTGGCGCCGACCTACACATAGGTTTGCGGGGTTTTCTCCATCCTGGTATCTCCCACCCGCAGGACACTCTCCCAGCCAGGACAAGCTGTAAATTCCCGAATGGATCTATGACGAATGGGGTAGTGTAATTCATGTAATGTTTGTGGGAATAAGGGGTGAGGATAGGAAAAGGAAGAGGACGGAAAGATCGCACGCGGTCCGTGACCCATTTGTTAGGACTCGCCCCGCCCGGTCCCAGTACTGCTCTACCTGGTATTGATCGGAGAAATCATAGGAAATTACCATGGGAAACCATGGGGATCACAGAAGCCTGCCGCTGGAATTCTCCTCCAGGCGTTGACTAAATTCGATCTTGCTATCTAACTCGTGTCGGAAATCCTGCCATCGTCAGGACTCGAACCCTAGGACATTCCGGTGAAAGACGCTGGCCAGCCGATTCACGGAATTGCTTCGACGTCAACACGACGTTGCTACCCTGACAGCGAGACGAGTAAATCCCCTACCGGGTCCGGAGAAGGCGACCCTCAGCCAAGCGTCGAGCGTGCAGTTTCTCCTCTCACGTTCGAATCCGGGCGCTGCACGTGCAATTTGAATTGAAGCTGGAGTGTTAAAGACAGGGCTTTGGGGGCACTTCCGTTTTCCCTACCTCTCATTACACCATAACTCATTTCATATTATCACTTCTGTTACCTCCCCATCAATCCACCATCGCCGATGCAACAAATTGTGTACCCGTACTAAATACAAACACGTGAATACTTCTTCCCGAACGGAAAGTGTCTCTTCAGCGTATGATCTTTAAACACAACACACTCCGTACTACTTGCTAACGGGATGAAGTGTCCGCGGAGGCGGGCGCCGGGGGGGGGGCAGTGGCGAGGAGATCAATCTTCTGATAGCGCAACCTGCCGCCACAAAGGATGGTGGCTACGCGACCTACATGGCCTGCAGGTGCTGCAGGGGGCGGGGCGGCGTGAGGTCTCCCCGGCGCAACGGGTTCGCTGTGTCCATCCAACGCCGGCGAGGAGAGGCGCAAGGCGGCTCCTGCAGGTTGCACATTACTCGACCCGTAAGTCAACGGACGGAGCGACCGACAAACGGGCTCGTGATCGAAGACATAGAGGCGCCACCGACATTATTTTGACGAATGCCAATTTTTTTTTAGCTGAATAATTATAATTGTTTTTTCCCCACAAGCATGAGAAATATTTTACATCACTACATACGTTTTTCACATTAATTATAATTATAATTGGTTTTCTTGCACAATCATAAAAAATATTTGACATCACGATGTACATTCTTTCTTCGTCTGCAAGATAGTTAACGAAGGTAATGTGAAAAGAGGATACGTTATTTGATTGTTTAATTTTAATTCGTAGCGTATCCCCTTAATTCAACAAATTAAATGGACATACCTCGTTTGTGAAATGGATTCATGAAAGTTGACAAATGTTACAAATTTGTCGGATATGTTTTTGGCGGTAAGAGTTACGTTTCTCTGGAACGTTTAGCATTTTAATAAGTTTACTTCCTCTTTCCTGCTATGAGAGGATATCAATTATTTACATCATGGATTTATTTTTCTTTTCCCCTTAACTTCAGGGATATTATCCTTTACGTAACATGCCATCTCATTATGTAAACAATAAATACTCAACGACTCAAATGAGACGTTTCTTATTAAAAGAACGATGTAAATCGTGAGGTGATGGTGTTTTGCGTCTAGATAAAGTAACAACACTGATACCTGACATCTGACATTTTTAATAAAAATTTGCTGCCATTGATTTTGCAAATAATGAGCCCCTATTTATTCATAAGATTTAATTTGAGTCCCTTTGATAGTCATTTCCAGATAGAATTCTCTTTTGAACATAATATTTTCTTTTGATTGTGTCCCATTTTTTACGGCAGGGCATTATTCTAAATCGGTTCATGTGAAAATTCAAATTATGGTAGTAATTTAATGTGATTTGTTTTCGAAAATGTATTTAAATATTACTTTGTAACATTTCCGACTAGTGCTCTAAAATTCACTCATTGAATTTCTCACCTGTACCTGACTCTGAAATGTGAAACCATCTTTCTTTGAAATATAATCGACGAATGAGGTAGAATGTTTCCAATGAAGTCTTTCTGACGCACTTCTTGCACCAAGGAATTCTGGATGGTACTCGCTGCACCGGAGATCACGTCAACACGTACATGGTTCCTTCGCTAGAAGTGCCTATTCTTTAAGGCGACCGCTACTCTAGTGGTCAGACTACTTGCCTTCAGACAGCTGACGTCGCCTTTCAACCTCGTCCGGTTTAAGTGGATTTTGTGGTTGACAAAGCGGGTTCGCAGATTACTTTACAGAGTCGCCTTTTACTAGCCAGTTTGGATAACGATTTTAAAAAAATTTCCCGCCTTTTCTCATTACGAAATTTACATGTACTTTTTTAAAAAATTTAGGATGAGTTATATATACTATAGTACACAAATAATAGTTAAATGAAGATGAAATTTCTGACGTCACTATCCTTTGCGAATGACAATGTCAGGAGCGTTAGAAGGTAATTCTCGATCGTGAGTTGGGTTTGCGAGCAGACGGTAGAGAGGACGTGGATATAAATTCTAATTTTACCTCTTTTTAACCTGACAATTTAGAGAATTGATGATTGACATTTCGGAAGAGAGTCTCCGTACCACCTGGCAATCCATCCCAACACAAAATCAATTATAACAATACCACTAAAGATATAATTTTATTCTCATTGCATATTTTATTTCCTTGCTAGTAAATCATGGCATATGGAAGTAAATTTTTTATTGGAACAGGGATCCATAAATATAATTATTTTAGGCAGTTCACGCGCAAAGTTGAGTCATGCGGAAGGTGTCTTCTTTACCCTCAAAGACTTTATCGCCTTTTTAAGGCGCTGAGTGACGTGAAGGAGAGGTGCAATTGCGCAGTGAAGGATCTTCAAGCGCTTACTACTCATACTTCGCAACTAGGAGCAGCGGTGACGGAGCAGGAAGAGAGCGAGTCTCTGGTTGCCACTGACCGCAAAGTGTCGGTTGTTCCTCGCCAGGATCTCTCTTGCATAGAGACGCGACAAACGTGCCGAGCTGAGGTTGGCTTCTCCCCTATTTCGGCAGAAATTCCATTTGAGAAGCAGCGTAGAACGGTCATGACGAGAAGTCGGAGCAGAACTTCCGATTGACGCAAGGAGATGCAGATCGATACGACGTGTGAAGGAAATCAAAGTGTCGACGTTTGCACACGTAGGGGTACGGAAGAGAGGAGGAATTTGAATCCTTGAAGATTGTAGTACATACAAGATTAACTCGTGGTTCTACAGAATGACATACTTTCTCCCGCTAGTCTGGTTTATTTAGTCTAGGCTATCTTTATGGTGGTGTTCTTCCCTTTTGTCGGCTGCTACCTATCGGCGTCTTAAAGACACTTACTTTTTCGTATATGTATATGTATATGTATATATATATATATGTATATGTGTATATATATATATATATATATATATATGAATACAGAGTAATGTTCGTAATATAGAGAATGTTGTTTTATTCTTCAGGAAATCGATTTAGAATTCAACGTCAATCCTGTGATACCAAAAAAAAATTATTTTAATGTCTTTCCTTCTACCCTCTATCTCGTGTTTGAACTAGCTTTGGCCACAGACGGATACACAAACTAGGATTACCATGAAACATGAGGCGGGGCGGAGCGGAATGTAGCGGGGCCTGTTCGCAACGGAGAAGGGGTGTAAATAAAATGACACTTGAGATAGAATAATTGAAACAAAATTACACCACACACCGTGTATTTTACGCTACACATACTAACTTTTTCCTTTGTCTGTGCAGTAAACGGGTGTGTAGATGTTCCAGCAATGTGGTGTAGTGGTTGTCGGCAGCGCAGGCGCCACAAGGGAGCTCTGTGCCGCTCTCTTCCGGTGCGTGCTTCCGTTGTCGCCGGCGCGGCGCAAGTGGAGCACACACGAACCTCAAGGGGCCTCTCTTCTGCTTCACTACACGGTTTTGTTTTTCTTCAAACATACATGTTAGACATCCTTTATCGGAACTCAGTACTTAGTGTTTCCTCACAAAACTTGCAATAAAGAAACTGAGAATCTATGGTTTTCTTAATCTCTGGCTTCAGGCAAGCTTTTTTAATGAAATGCATATTACACTCTGATTGGGCTAACGAAATTACGAAAATGTATAGGATCGATATCATGTTTTCTTCTTGAGGCTGAATATTCTCGAAATCAACAGCTATATTGGCGTCCAAGAAATTAAAGTACAAATAAAATAATTGCTATAACGAGATGTACTTAATGACACTGCTTATTAAACGCACGCTATCGACAGGAACGATCTATTCGCGTATCCATCAGGCTTCCTTCGACCGTACACCCCAGCGTTGGTCACCACGCCGACCAACGTTCAACCCTACGAACAGTTTCGGACTGTCAAATAAATTGGTTGAGTTCGAACGATGTATGGCACCAGGAAAACCTGCTAACTGGATTAATTTTCAATCACATTAAAACAAAATATCTGTACATGTATTTTTCTCAACCTTAACGTCCTTCAGTGTCCAACATGAATTAGTTACTCGACTTGGGTGTGACACATGCGACCGGTCCTGTGGTCATTCAGTTCCAAGAGTGGCTGAAACCAATGGTTGTCAATTATACAAGCCGGTGTCATTAGTCGAAATGCGTAACTACGCTCCGTGAAGTCACGGACGTTAACCAACTCGAGACAGCACGGATTCCTGGGTCGATGACCATCTAGAAACCAGGAACGACGCCGAGCCCCTGGCCGAAGGGATAAAAAGCAATGACTGACTGCGGCGTTACGAGTCAAGACAAAATTTATCGGGGGATTACTCCAAAAATGTATATACGCCTAAATTCTAAAAGATGGCAAAGAATCGTTGTGTAAAATGCGCAACAGAATTACAAGAAGAAAACACATTTGTGGAAGATAACTTGTAACCATCAGTGTCGTTCGAGCCGCGCCGTCGCTGACATGCGAGGTGTAAAAACGCCAGATGGGCGGACGGACGTGCTTCGAATGCGCTGGCGTCGCGCTTGGCTGTGCCCGGGCGCCTGCTGGTGTCTGGGCTGCGGCATCTGGCGCAAGCGCCGCCTGATAGCATCGGCGCCTCCCCGCGCTGGCGGCGCTACGCGGCGGCGCTGCACTGGCCGGCCCACGGGAGCAGAACGCGGCGGCGGCCAGGGGCGGCGCTGCGAAGCGGAGGCTGGCCAACTCCCTTCTTCTGAGCGTTTTACTTCCTCGCAGTCGTATGTATGCAGGGAGACATATACGTAGTCTGAAGAAAGGTATGTAATGCTGCACGAAAAAACGGCGTATTTTAGGCAGAAAAAATGTCATTGCCGGGCCCAGGTTACCAAAAAGTGGATATGTTCTAATATGTAGTAAATTACTTCCTCTAATTTACGAAGCCAGCAAGAATAAAGCGTCATGACGAGATCAAAAATTTCATACAAGGAAAGATGCTCCGGAAATCGGACACGGTGGTGTCCACGGAAGCCACTTTCTCCGTTGCCGAAGGGGTTAGACTCAAACCTGACCTGGTAATAAAAAGCCGGGAAGGGATCCGAGTGGTCGATGTGACTGTCCGCCACGAGGATGGGTCTAGCCTTCTGAAAGCAGGGGAGGAAAAGGTGGTAAAATACTAACCAGTCATCCCCCTGGCAGCCCAACTTCATGGAGTGCCCAGCGCGAGAATCCTGCCTGTGGTGGTTGGAACCTCTCGGGTTACGCCAAAATTTACAGTAAGTGCCATTAAGACCCTGAGGATCACGTCTCGAGGCGATCTACTGACTAGTTGATCTCGTTAATTGCTCTCAGAAGCTCTGTTAAACTTTACACACAATTTGTAAATTACGATGGAGCAATTTAGCATTGCTGGTAGTAAATGCAGGAAAGAAACTTCAATGTCCTATGGGGAAATCTAGGGAACCCATTGGATCCTAAAATGCCTAGGAATTGCCTTTACCACGACTTTAAGTGAGAAGTGTTTGCTATTTAATGTAGCATAAGAAGTATGTATAGAAAATTGTGCAATCAGATTTCACGATTTGTGGGTCATTGATACTAACTGGTTTACGACAAAACGACCAACCAACTGACCGTCTGTTCGTCCGTCCGTTCGTCCGTCCGATTGTCCGTTTGTCCGTCCGTCCGTCCTATTCGTCTGTAAACAGCAATACCCTCTTCTATAACTATTTCAAGGTGTTCTCCAAAATGAATATTCTCAGGTCTATCTGACCTGAATTGAAAATCTGCGATTTTTAAAAACATTCTTTAAATGTTAGGAGTACTTTACAAGACGCCACAGGGACATTTTCAAAATACATTTTTATACTTGTGGCGTAGGTCCGATTTCCTCTATCAACTGAATTTTCGTAAATTATCAAATTTTGGATTTTTTGTCATTCCAACAGTGTTGAATATAGAGATGCTTTCAAATAAATACATTTTCTGCCATTAGTTCGTTCATTAACGACATGAACATTTTTACATGATTACATTACATTTACAAAATTTGCTCAAAAAAAGGCTCCAATGTTTTTTCTTAAAGTGTTTGACACGGCTAGTGCTCAACGCATTGAATAATATGACACACACGTAATTTTGATGTATTTAAAACTTTTTTTAAAATACCTCTCACGTTGTTATTCACGATACATTACCGGAGATCTGTATTTATTTTGCATTTATCAGAAGATCAGAAGATCTATCAGAAGAAGTGTTTAAAATGATTTCCAATTATGATTATCAAAAATTCAAAAGCTTTCTACGAAAATGACCTGAAAATTGCGGATTTTCAGAAACGCTCAATCAGAATTTTCTTAAAAACGGCTCCACATTGTTCAACGAAAGTTGGCACTTTGGACCATATTTTAGTTTTCTATAATATTTTTAAAGTCATATTTCAATTCTACTCGTAGGAATCCACAAAATTGATAAAACGGGGAAAATAGTATTTTAGTTGGCAATAGATGGCAGCTGAGAAGTCGTTGGGCATAACTGAAAAGATCTTCAGAACACTCCTGCCCTCCCGAGAGCCTTCGTAGTACGAGAAAGAACGTGCTATTCTCCAGCACCACTAGTTCTTTTTAGTGGCACTGTACTGTGTAAGATATCGACCTAACCAAACATCAAACCAACCATAATGGCTGTCATCCACCAAGATCAATGAAAGCGAATGTATTATATGTATTATAGGTGAAGATATCTAAAGATGAGTACACTTATTGCAAGAATTGCTATTCTTGTTTATGTAATATGTACTGATAAGAAGATGATTTACGAAAAGTATTGAATGACGAACTGCCCATAAGCAGCAAAAAATAGTGCGCGTGGAAATTTGCAAACCGAGGGGATAGTCGAGGATTATAATCAACCGAATATGCTACTTGCTGTTTATATATCGGCCTAATAATAACTACTATATCTGCGCCTCAGATAAGACTGGCATGAGTCTCATGCACAGTTTCAAGGATAATTTAAAATGCCTTCAGCTTCTAAGAATAGCATTATTGGATTTTAAAGACACACTGCGATTCTCTCTGTGAGTTTCTGGTAGTCCGCTAACAATCTTCCGTGAGGGTCTACAATTGTCCTGAATTAGAGCAAGTTTTCCAAAGATATTTTTAAGTTCCTGTATGCAGGTTATGCAACACAATAAAATATTTGAAAAGAAAGTAAATCGTCAATACAAAACAGCTTGAATTAAGACAAAATTAATTGTATTTAGCAACACTTATATTGAAAAAGAACCTGATTATGTAAGGCTAGTACCAAAACGTAGCGAAACCTGCATTAAGGGTCTTGAAAAATTGTCAAGTCGATGAAAGAATGCTAAACATTTTTACTTTCTTGTATCTTGAAATATCTGATTTTGTAATATTTACGGTTTCTTTATTGCAAAGAATATTCGTGTCATCCGCAAAGGGTAATGGTTGAAGTAAATAACATGATAATATGTGGAAGGATAAAATAATGGGTTTTGGTGGAAAATAATTGCCCGGGAAGTACGAAGTACGTTTTGAGGTCCCATGATGCTGAAAAAAAAAATTTTGTTGTTTTTTCAAATCATCCGCCTATCCGTCTGTCAGCCCCTTTACGAACCTCCCGATTAACGTACCGAATCTTCTAGCCTAGGAATCAACAAAACGCTTCTCTGTCTCTTGCAGTAGCGGAGGTCGTGGCGTGGTGGGAGGAGGGGAGGGGCAGAGCAAGGCCGCCCACTTCGCCCCGAGGGCGATTGTCACGCGGCTGCGCACGCGCAGGCCGAGCGGATGATCTCCGAGCAGCAGCAGCGGGGAATCCGCACGCAAAAGCGCAAGATCGTGTGATTGGCGGCCCAAGAGGGCGCCTCTGTGCCGCGGGGACCTTGGAGCCAAGCCTTCTGGGAACCCGACCCATGACAGGCACGATCGCATTACTCACACAAGGTAGCGAATATTCCACATTTCATAAATATTTGTTTTAATAGGTTCAAATCGGATTACGACTTTGTGGGTTTTAACATTTTCGACTGGTCCTGTGCAAATAAATCGCAAAACCAATTTAATTTTATTTATTTTCATAAAAAAGCATTATAATGTGTATGTGACGTATGGGGGAAAAAGTATAACCTGCATTTTTTTCGATCTTCAGAATTCTTACCCACACCCTTTTACTGTGTACTTAATAAATAATAAAATTATCAACGAAGCGATATAGAGAACTTTCGATCTCTTTCGAACACTTGAAACTTTCGATCCCTAGAAAAGGAAACTTATTTGAATTGGCAAACGATTGTACAAACTACTGATTTAATTTTATATTATTACTAACAAAATAGCAACACACACCCTCGGCTATACTTATATCACATCTAGCAGAAGACTACGTCAACAAAACATGCGTGTAATGAAGTTACGTGTTCAAAACCTAAACAAGGGGTCAACTCAGCATTTGTTCAATTGATCAAGGCAAACGGAACAAAATACCTGGTCGAGATTTTGCGATTCTAAACTTTCTGACCATTTGTGCAACGAGGTGATGTACCACAATAAGCCTCCAAAAATAATAGAAGACCCAGAAAGATTAATTTGCAGTTTAAAACCTAAGAAACCACTTAAGCCTTCTTTGATACCACCAAACCGGCTTTAAACGGTCTTCAAGGCCGTTTCCGAGTCAGGCACTTGTTAAAAGGTTGCGCGCGGGTGTATTGCGGATTTCATAACACCTGATGATTTTTTCATATCAATCCTAATCTACAAAATCTGTTGTTTCGTGATATTACGGTCAGCGCATCAGGCTGTTGTACCCAAATTCGCGGGTTCAAAGCCTATCGAAACCGGGTTTTTGTAAGGGCGGTAAAAACTCTTTGTACGCCTTCTGTCGGAGGGGAAGTAAAGCCTATTGTCCTTTGTAGATTTACTGCATGTAAAAGATCTTCATGTCCAAAAGAACACTTTGAAATAAATACAAATCGCCTGTTTCGTCGCCGATTAATATCTTCCATCTCTGCTAGATGGTGAAAGGAGAGTAGCGAAATTTGCGTGGTCACATGGAAGAGGGGGCCTGAAGGCCTGCGTGTCGCCACGTAAAATAATGCATTAACTAACCAACTAGAGAGGTTGTACATTTACATCTTAATTTTGTCTGAAGTACCCTTGGGAGGATATTCCCTATCCTCCAGCGTTTAGGCGTCCAGACTTTGAGAGGATGGCGCCTTATGCATCGTTCACAACTCGCACCTCCAATAGACAAGTGACACAAGTGCGAATTTCTGATTTCTCAGAAATTGCAATTTCAAGTTTCGTAGTTCTGTAATACTGTTATAGATTGTACCAAATATTCACCTTCTAACGGACAGTAAATGAACTAATTCAAAATCAACTTCAGAATAGTAGATGGACCTCTTGGTAATCTCTTATGAGCTTTTAGCTGAAAAATGACGATTTCGCCCTTGTGTCACATTTCTATTGAAGGTGCGAACTGTCATCTTTGGTTGGCGAATTATATACAAGTACAATACAATATCCTGAATCAGATTTACAGTTTTGAATAAGGCAATTTGATAATACATTAACTACCATATTGGTATATTGTTGTTTCTAAAATAAGGATACTAAAACATTTTGTAAAGTCAAGAGACACCCAATATCCAAATTTTTATTTTCTGGACGTCTAATATTTCCGAAATACATCTCCGGGCAACAACTGAATGTAAACTGAAACCACAGGCTTTGTATGAAGTTTCCTTTAAAATAAAAGGATTCCCCCTCATAAAGGTCTCAAGATTTCTGTCTCAAGAAACCATTATAAAAAAGTACTACGACAATTTTACGATTTAGTCTTCCCCACAGACGAAAGTCGACACCGCCACAATAGACAATAGTCTTTCGAATGACGGAAAATTACAACAATTTGATGCGGATTATTAATACGACTTCAATTTTTATTCGTTTAAGTATCCGAGAAAGTGGACGTTCCGTGAAGTCGCGAAACACACTTGGCATTCGTTGGATCTCCATCATACTCTGTGGTCGTGTAAGAACTTTCTGTGCTCCAATTCTTGTATGTCATTTTTTCACGCGAGTAGTGGCTCTATCATTACACACAAGACGGGGTTTGCATTTGCACGCACAACCGTTTGCGTAAGATCTTTTCATTTTCCGCCAAGGCCAATAATAATTGCAACGTTTGCAGAAGAGTCTCTTCTGCTGTAACTCACGCCAGCGCGTGAGTGATGAGTGATGTTTTGCAGGCTCTTGGAGCTCTGGGACCCGCAATGGATCCAGGGCCACATAAGCAGTATGCCCTCTCCCGTCCCCCAAGCCAACATTTTCTTGTAATTTTACTCAATTTATTGGAAACAACCGCATACTTAACGCATCACATCAAACGAGTATTTCCATTAGAAATATACATTTAAAAATATTAAATGAAACTACCAGTTTGTACTTATAAAATACAGAGAGAGAGGTGGCTCAGGGCATACACTGATGTTACTGCAGTGTCTCTGGTCGGGAGGCCGGGAGCCCAGTCGGTGGCTTAGATCTTGTCTTGCATGGGGCGGTGCACTGCTATTAGGAGATATCTTGTCGGGGAAAACCTCCTTACTGACGGTAGGTTGGCGTCGGATCTCAGTATCCAGCGGGGGAAGATTATCGATACCTCCCGACGAAAACATGCACTATACTTACGGGACTAATAACCTCATCCGTTGACGCGCCCGCAATCACTAATCATTCAATATTTATAAAATAATACCTTTGGTACGTACGGATGGGGTCAAACTAAAATTGTCGTGGCCAAAATACTTTCGGAATACGGCCATCTGCCCTCTCTACTTTATTTACACAAACTAATTGAGCCCTACACGGACGATTTTCTTCCAAATGATGGAATATTATAAGAATACGTAGAGAAATTGTGTTGTAGTATTGAAATTAGTCCCTGCTATCGCCAAATGCAATTTGCCGTCTTTTCACCAGAAGATATTTAGTTAGTAAAGTGAATTAAAAATCTGCTGAAGCCAGCAATCTGACAAGCAGCTCCAGCAAACCTAGCTTCAATACAAAAGCTTTTATGTTGTCATTTCACGTGATGAATTAGTTGCAATAGTGTAAATATTTATTTATTTATGTGTAATGTTTCTTTACTTTTGACTAGTTATAGTGTGAAAATCATATTGTATCGTATTAATCGTATTTCTTTCTGTCTTAAACAGCATGTAGACGTTCTCAGAATGCCAGAACAGAGCAACAGCATCTTTAGGAGATTGCTAGGGAAACCTCCGTTAGCCGCGCCATGGACAGGTAAGTGCGATTTTTCGACATGTCATAGAAAGGAAATTACACTGCACACGTGCGTATATGAGACTTACCCGCACCATCAGCACAGGTATCCCCTGCACCGCCAATCGCGTTCGAAGAAATGAACCGTGAATGATTTGGTTCATAAACCAATTCGTTTTCACTGCACAGAGCAAAGAGTGTGGCAATAAGAGGGATGGGAGTAAAATGCCCATTACGTTAAAGTGCTCTGCTCAGAATTCCAGCATGCACAAGTTCCGACGAATGCAAATTAGTCTTCTTGGCGCTCTTCTTAATGCAAGGGCTAACGTTGTTAATGCATGCACTTTCATGAATGTTTGCGTTCTTCCTACCTGCAGTCAAAGATGGTTAGCTGGGTGTCTACAGTATGCTTGTCACGGCACAAGAGGCCATTAACATAACGACTGCTAAGCATCAATTCACGACCCTGCACCGCGGCTGGAGTGCGTGGGATTCGCTACAGAGGCGTTGGAGGGCGCCTGACAATTCGAAAGGCAACGACTTAATTAGTAGCCGCCTTTCTTCATAAAACAAACAAGACAAGATTTTTATAATTCCATTCCAACCCTTAAAAGTTGTGTAATTGAACCAAATGTCCGAACAGACAAGCACACCTGGTTGTAAAAAGATTTCCCATACTCGAGAGCATGTCCCTCTTCGAAAATTAGCTGAGCGAGTGTCTTGCTTGTAAAGGAAAATTGAAGACAAAATGTAGCGTGAAATACTTGGTTGAATTTGATAGATTAATAATGCAATTAGATGAACAGGTGAGGTTTACAGCGCAGCAGTCTTGAGAATGACCTCTACGCGGACGAAAAGTACTTCGACAACTAATTACTCGTAAAAACGTCGGAGTGACACTTCCGGAATGAAATGAAAGGGTTATTTTTTTTGATTATTCTGCAGGCGATACACTTTTTATTTTCGTTATTTAATTATAATTGGGTAATGCGTCCCAAAATGTGAGTCAGAACCTACTCATTAATCAGGAAAAATATTCTATGTTAAATTTCTCAGGAATTCAATGAAAAAAAATAGTTTTAGAAGAACCGCGGCTGATTTCCAGCTTCGTTTGGGGTAAGGCTGAGTGTGTAATGATTTATGATTCCGCGTAATATGGAAGTTGACTAGCATTGCTTTTTCTGCTCATATACCTACTCTGTCACTTGCCGTTCTGCCAGTCTCTTGATAGGATGGGCTACTTAGTAAATAATAATTATCGCTATCAACTAGTTTTTCATACATCCTAGATAGAAACGTTCGCCTTATTTAGTCTATTACATTGCAAATACCTCCTCTTTTTCTTTACTTTGCACCGATATGGAAAACAATCAAATGTTTTTCTCCGAAATTAATCGTATTCCCATTACTTGGGCGGAATATATGTGAATATGTGTGAAATATACTATGCGAAATATATGTGAGCAATTTACAATTTACAGGGTAATAGAGAATTCAATACACAATTTACTCGCAAATATATGTTTGTAAATCGGTAATTCAATTTAAAGTATACAAAAAAATATACATTTTATTAAATATTCTGGCAAATATCTTCTTTGTATGTTAAATTTTGTTATGTTATTATATTGTTATTATTACTATATGCAAATTATTTCTTGTCTTTCGCAATTTGATGCCACGTAGTGCGATTGGAATCTCTGCGCAGGCCGCGAGCTGTGCAGACTCCATTCCTGTCCTGCCCATCCATTCCTGTCCGCCGCCACGCCCGCACCCGCCCCCACCCCACTCCGCCCCACCCGACCCGTCCTTGCTGTGACGGCGCCGCGGCGCCCGCGATGCCTTATTCACGACGGCGCTCCCCGCCCGCTGCCCGCCCGCCATCGCCCTCGCGCGCCAGCCCGCTCTGCGCTCTGCCTGCGCACGCCCTGTGCCAGCGCCCAGGCGAGACGAGGCGGAAGCTCGCTTTACTGGAACATGCTGACTCCAGCCCACGGAACAGTTTCCATTCAAACACGTGTGTAGAAACTTAACGTTTCTTATAAAGTACGGACCAGGAGAGGTGGCTCAGGGCATCGACTGATGCCACTGCTGTGCCTCTGACCTGCTCGAGTTTCGACGGTTTTCGACACTTGCTAGATTGCTAGGTCAAGTTTCGGCGCTACCTGGAGGAGAATTCCAACGGGCGGCTGCTCTGATCGGTAGTTGTCTGTGGTTTCTCTAATTAACTCCAGGCGAATGACGTGGCAGTACCCTAACAAACGGACCGCGCGCGATCTTATCTTCCTCTTCCTTGTTCTACCTTCACTCCTTATTTACACACACTTACAATAACAGGCACTACACTACCACACAAGCCGAGATATCGATCTGGAGCTTAGATCCTAATCCGGCTGGGGTGCAACCCTGCTGGTGGGAGATGCCTGATTGAGAAAACAAACTCGCTACCCACGGTAGATTGGCGCCGGATCTCGCCATCAAGCTAAGATCACAGCCACCTCATGAGGGAAGAAACGTGCACAACTCTTACGGGACAATGACTTTAGTTGACACTCGAAATAATCAACCAATTATATAGAACAGTTATAATCGACAGACCGAATCTTAGTCTAATATTTTAGAAAAAATAGATTAATGCGAGAGTAAAAATATGATAATAATAATTTGCAAGTAACAATAGTTTATTTTAGTAAAAACTGTTTAGTCAATAAATTCAAATAGTGTATAACAGGAAAAAAATCGAAATGGCGCAAGTCAAAGTATAAAATATATTAGAAAACCATAAAAAATGTTACAATATAGAAACGAGGATTATTTATCAGTTGTGAGTTTGTTGTGAGGTAATCACATTTGCAGCACCAAAAATTAGTTGCTTTTGTGATTTTTTTGTATTCTCAATTGGAAATTGAAAATACAAGTATACGGATGTTTTAGGAAGCGAACGAGTATGAACAGAACGATAAAATGTTCTTACACTCTCCTCTCTGAATATCTTCGAAATTAATCTTGATGTCTTATTGCTCTCGTAATTTAGGACAATAACGACAGTTAGCCATGACACCAAAAGAGTCTCTTCTGCAATGAGTCCACATGAATAAAAATGTTGTCTCTTTACTAGGATTTCACTCTCCTTACCAAGACGAAGTATAATGTGTTTAATAAATAGTATTGAAATTGCAAAATAAGACAATATGGAGAATAAGAGGTAAATAAGTATGTTTAAGTTCTTCTTGAGGCATCTAAATGCCACGAAAGGATCTCATTGTTGTTTAATGGTTAAATGGACATTTGCATGGCAATCGGAGATCTTACATTTTTTTGACTCCGAAGTCTCCTCTTGTGAACAGAATCCGCTCGCCACATGCAGCTATTGGAACGGGTTGCCAGTGCCAGATCCTGCGGCTATCGCAGTCTTCATCTCACAAGCGAATGAATGGTCAGCCACGTCACGATGAAATCTGCTCTGGTTTCGTTCCAGTGATGATTAGGGTCACTTGTGGTGGTATGCATTTTTAGAAGACGAAACGAAATCGAAGGTGCTACGAATTTAAATGAAATGTACAAGTTTCCACGTCATTTTGGCGACTAAAATTTCCTTTTGTACAACCCTGATGTCGATTCCCTTCTCTTTGGCTGCCGTCACACAGGCGAGCCGTGAGCTGGGGATACCTTCTAATGACAGTCCATTTTCTCGAACTGAATACGCGATTTGGAATAATTTCGATATTAGTGGTATTTTTATAGTAACTTACATTTTGTTTCGGCTGCTAAAAAAGTGCTTATGAACCACGTGTGACCTTAACTATCTGTGAAGAAAATTCAGGACATGTATCAACGTGCCACCACCGGACACTCCCTCGTTTCAGCGAAATTCAATGCGCACACGGAGGCTGGCGGGATCAGTCCCTGCGCGATGCGCCGCGCTCGGATCCGATGAAACATTAATGTGCCCCTGTAGCCAATGCACAGCAGCGTCGGACAGTGGCCTTCCTCACAGGACATGCCACACGCAGGCCAGGCCTCCCAGCCACAACCCAACGCAACGCAACGCGACGCGACGCGACGCGACACTGCTCGGACACAAGATTGACACCTGTCTTCTCTGTGGAGCATGTGGAAGGAACGAGAGAGCGCAAAAAATCTTTCAGTCGCGGTTGAAGGACTCTTCATTAATATTCAAAACATCAGTTGATCCAGTAGGCATCAAGCTTGAGTAGACACCGCTCATGTCGCAGCTTTCCAAACGTATGGCTACCTCCTTCCTCTTCCAAATCTGTCAACCTGCCCCCCCCCCCCTCTGTGCAAATCATTCTAATAAGTGAAGACTGCATGGTTTTCAAATGATTACCATTTTTATATTATATCAAATTATTATTGTATATTAATTAACATTGTATTAAAAGAGACATGAACAAGAGAATGAAAGACAAAATACTTGAATCATTAAAGATGTGAGGACAAAAGAAAACGTTTAGAATTCCATAGATATCAAAGTAATAACTGTAGAAACAGTAAGATGAGAAGAATATCGGATTCTATAGACCGCAGTGAAAAGAGATGGGTGGTTAGAACTTATAATACAACACAGTTTTATGTGATTGTAGATATTTAAATTATATTTACAGTGGACGAGTTTTTATTAATTACAGTCTTATTCGCTTATTTTTTTGATGGAAGTTCATGAATTTTTCAAAACAAAAGAAAAATGGTAACGCCCAACGAAAAAAATTGAATTACTAGATTCGTCATTAATAAAAAGTGATCCATTCTGATTATAATTTAAATATAACACAGTCACATCTCCGCCGTCCATACAATATTTACTGTTCATACTTTTCGAGAGACCAACAGGGGAAAAAAGGGGGAATGCAAAACAAGTACTGTTGACGACTAATCCGCCAATTCGAAGAGTAAATGTTTTTTTTATTGTCTCTTTGTTTTCACACAACGCACACAATTTCGCTTGATGCTCCCGTAGACTCTCCAGCTGGCAGCGGAGGTGCTGGCACCGCTCGCTGGGAAGATGCAGCCGACGCGGTGGCCCCGCGACCGCCACCGCATCAAGCACATCGGCAAAAAATTGTTTATCGCTCGAGACCCCCCCCCCCCCCGCCACGTTATTTACTACTTCTCAATCATACTGTGGAATCGCTTTTAATTACTTTGCTGCTTAGGGTGACTATGGATAATAAGCTATTGCATTATAATTGCGTGTCAATGAATTATCAAAAATGTCATGATTCTTAGGAGTGCTAAAACAGATGATAAGTATGAAAATCTTATTTTGTTATTACGTACCGGCTGAGTTCTGAGCCACTGTATTGTCGCTGTCTCTGTAGCGACTAAAGATTCTAGGATGCGAGTCTTGACGGTGTCCATACTGTCAAGATAACTTGGTCGAATCCTGCCGTTGTTCGGAAACAATTTTATCAGACGGTTGTTCCGATCAATACCGGAGGAATTTTCTTAACAGGCCACGGACTTTCCGCGCGCGATATTTCCTTCCTCTTCCTATCGTCTGTCCACTCTCACACTCACTCTACATGCACTAGTATATTATCAAACCAGGGCAGAACAGTGGGGAGCCTGGAGTTTGTTCCGGGTTCCCCAATGGGAGAATTTCCCCTGCGAGCTGACTTGCAGGTCGGCGCTAGATACTCCATGAATCGAGGAGGAACACCGCCACCTCCAGAGGTAAAAACATTCACTGCACTAACGGGATTAATTTCCGAGGCAGTTGACGTACCCGGAAACATCAACAGACTTATTATTATTATTATTATTATTATTATTATTATTATTATGTAATTTTTAATTTTAAGTATTCTATTATCCATCTTCGTAATTTTGATAGTCAATAGAGCAATACTTTCGCGAATCTTGGAGATAATATTTCTCACAATTAGTTCTATAGCTGATGACAGCACTGTCGTAATATTTGATGTGATACGAATACCTGCAAGATTCTGTACATTCAGCGTTTACAGTGTTTCAACGAACGCAAAACAACGCTTCGTATTTTCATTCGTATCAGGCGAAAATTGTACAATTTTCTCCTAGAGTTCTACTGTGATTTTTTGCTATTGACCCAAAACACATAAGGAACTGCATTCGACCTATCAGGAAAGTGAATGGTCATGAGTGTGTAAAGACGAGTGTCTGCCTGTACGCTCATGACTTAATGTTACCATTCCTTGCCTATCCTCGCGCCTTAAGAAAATTTAGGGAAGATGCAAAATTGAGTGTTTGATAAGCTATTAGGAATATATCACTACTTCATTTTACTTTACTGATATGCAATTAGTGCTGCAGCATTAATACTTTGGAATGAACTTTGTCCTGCTTTGAGGGATGTTTGAGATTAATGGCTGCCGAGATAACCGAGGAGGAGGGTGGGAAAAAGGAAGGTATCAGGATAAAAGTATCACGAAAAGTTCGCGAAAGAAGTAAGGAATATGGGTGAAAAAAATACATGAGATAGACATTTCATGATGATCATTCACGTCACACGTAGATTATACATTTTAAATATAGTAGACGATTAGTTTTATATTGATTTAACTTTAAATTGGAATTGGAATTTTTATATATAACAGAAGTATTAACATAAAAGTTGTTGTATGTATGTTCCCCTGTAGTCTCCTCTTTCGTGGTCACCCCCCTCCGCGAGTGGCGTCGCTGCGCCCAGAAGTGTTGGTCGTAACTCGCAACCGAACGCACTCGGTCGCGACCTGTGACAGCCCCTTGGCGTCCAGCCAGTTCTTAACGAATCGCACACATGCATATGTCGCCAAGAATCACGGTCCGCCTGCAGAGGATTTGCCAGACTCGAAGCGACAAGTTAAAAAAGCAGAATCTTTGCCATTACTCACGAGAAAAAGAACGTATCAGCGGATCGGTGAACTAATCGTTCAATTACACATGATTTGATTTTGATTGCGACTTGAAACTACGTAGGAGAATTTGCAATATACTTTCAATTGCTGAAGATACAGCAAGCTATGATCCGTTGACTTTAAAATAATTCTGCTTAAACGAATCCATCTTCAGAAGCTTCTCCTCATCACCAATGACATAAGCCGAAGACAAATAAAAATAAAAACTTATGGTATGTATGTCAACAGAAACTATATAACGTTCATAATATAGCCTACTTGTTAGGTACTTCTTAGAGGTGGAAAAAGTAACAAAAGGATTGGGGTACCAAAAAGACTACACCAACCACAGCAGCTTTCCGCGTTTCCTAAATATTACTACTTCGATTTTATTCAAAACGTGTTTCACCTTGTATTTACCTCAACCCCTTCATAAATATCAACAAGACGCGTGTATGACGATTGCTAAACGGTAAAACCTATTTTAAAATTTTGCCGTTTTGCGGTAATAATCGTGAACCGAATGAAAATCCCATTTAAACGGATTCCATCAACACGTATCTCAGAAATTAACTGGAAATTTAAGTGACGAAAATTGGTTCTATTTTTATTGCTTTGTGATGGAAACTTTGAAAAACTCTGGTTTGGAAAGTCACAAAATTTTAGATATGTATTGATAAAATGTACCCATCAATATAGTAACAGTTAAGCCACCCTTCACCAAAATTCAGGTATACTCATCTATAAATAGCAGGAAGCTTACTAAGACTGGCGTAGCTTTTTTTATTATTGCTCCAAACCCTTCAATTGTATTAGGAGGCTTGCACAGAGAAAATTATATGCGAGAGTGAAAAACGTACGACTGCTTGCACTCCTTGAGACGTGGGTAGCATAACTTGTAATGTCATCGTTTAGAGTAAGTGAAGAAATAAAAATAATGACCAGCTTCCGATGGTCTTGGGTCGAGTCCCCTCTCCGCTCGCGTAGCCTAATGAACAGGTTGCTCCTTCGTTCCCCACAAGATCTCGCTTGTGAGATTCCAGCCGAAAGATTCGGGCTCGAACTCGGCCCGGGAATTTGAACGTCCCTCTTTCAGCGTGACAGTTATTTACGACCATAATTCAAAATATTTACTTTCTAGGCGACGAAGAGAGATAAGTACATTTTCGGGGACTGTCAACCACCTATAGTGACACTTCCTGGAGATGGAAAGCGAAGGAAGCCGCAGGTTATTATTGAGAAGCCAAAAGTAAGTTCCCTCTGTAATTTTTTTTCTATTTTCTGCCGTGACGTTGTGTTTGTTTCTAACAATAAGACGCGCTGGTTTGACCTGGACAAAGAAACCGGGATGTAGTTCAACTGAGACCCTCAAAATTGATACGTAATGCAAGTATACCCCCTTGTACGTACACTTGTATGTAGTACATCTGTATGGCCGGAGAATATGACAAACGAACGTGACACGCAACACTAAATCTCGACGGCAAACGATACTTGAAATCGATCCGCATGCAGCAAGAAGCCTGCGCTGAATGCGAGAGGGTCCCGCCTTCGAACGCATTGTCGATTCGCGTCGGGTGGGCGACTCACTCACCTGGCGGGAGCTCGAAGCCGGGACCGCCGTCACGTGACCGCGCCTGTCCACCGCGACCGCCGCCAGCAGCAGGAGCGCGAGCGGCGGCAGGAGCTGCAGGCACAGCGGCGCCCGGCGACGGCACATGGCGATGACCCGGAACCTGTAGCTGGCTGGCTCGCTCCTCCTCGCTCGCACTGGGTTATCTGGCGTCGCGGCCTCCCGTCATCGCCAGGCAGAGGGCAGAGGCAGCGGCCGCCGCAGCCGCCCGCAGCGCACTGACTGGCGGCGGGCGCGCCGTCGCCCGTCGCCCGCCGCCCGCAGCAGCGCCAGCGCCCTCGCGCCGCGGGCGGGCGCCGCCGGAACCCGCGAGGCGCGGAGCGGGCGTTTGGCGCGAGAGGGAAGAGGAGAGAGGAGACGAGAGGCTGCGGCTAAACCCCCGCTCGCGCTCGCATTCCGGAGCCTTTCACGTAGCGGCGACGTGACGTCACGACTGCTTCGCTCGCGAAGACCTTACTCTTAACACATTAGCCCTTGACGTCGTATGTCCTTCTCTCATCACCTTGCTCCTTATCACCAGGGCTCGGATTCTGATAACCTCAAAATTCTTTCAAATGGCTTAAATATAAAGAGAAAAGACACAATTGTCTTTTGAATGTAATACTTGGCTCCGATCTTCCAACAGCCAGTTTTGAAATATCGAGAAAGTTACTGAAGATCCGTGTAATTTTAAAAAAAAGAAAAGAGAAAAGGGTTTCGAAAAACAGAGCCCACTGCAGGTGTGAATTTCGTCATTAATTGATAATACAATAAAAATGACGCAAAGGTTCAGAAATACATTAATGGTGATAAACATTAATTGACAAATTGTCTACGTCTAGAATGAACCAATGACAAGACATATCATCAAGATCCGTGTTCTACTTCTCACGATGCCTTACGACTGTACGTTTTATAATATATCTGATATCTTCCGCGCGATACACATTCGGTGTTCGTCCTGTATTTTCGATTTGATACATGTTCCATAATTTCCGCATCTTTTGGACTCATTCACATGTTTCTACCAGAGTGTTCTTAGTGTGATCGCTGTAATATGTGTAAACGTTTTCGTACGTAACTTTTAAGAACAGGAGGTCTGTTCCTGGGATACGCTTTTGGCTGTGCGCAAATATTAACTAATATTACTTGTGAATTTCGTTTAACAATCTGATTATTTACATTTCTCCTCATGTTGGTAAATCCACTTCTGTCCATCGCACAGTTTTGCATGATGGTGACCGTCGTAAGAGATGCATTCGCCTCTTCCTCTAAAGATGTGCTCTTACGCTCGGACCACCCAAATGAGGGAAACTGAGTGTGCCCCTGGTTAAGTTTGTCTTACACCTGCAGTTCATGAACACATAGGAGTTCGTGTTCCAATGTAGTTGGATTCATTTCCAAAAGTACCGAAATATTTCCCCTCCCCCGAAATGCTCAGTTTTTTTCTTTACACCATTAAAATTTTGACAATATTCAAGTACAGTATTTTGCAACATTCCACCTCCAAAAAAAGAAACCTCGTTGGAAAAACATCTGAATAATTTTTCAAGAAGAGAAGGGATACAAACGTGAATTAGAAGATACCGCCAATGCGTAATTTATGAATGTGTGCAGGTATTGTGAAGTTAATTCCGTTAGCGAAGTACTCTGGTGAACGAAAACTGAATTTTGCAGTCTAGAAGTACAGTTGCTTAAGTCCAGTGCCATAACACTCGTGTCAGATCGCTATCTAGTATTAGGGGGTTTAAGCAAGGCGTATCTTACAGCAATTGATTGTACTATTGAGCCTCTGAGCATGCGCCAACTCGGAAGCGAACTTGTCCGCTAATTTGCGTGTTCCGCTAATTTCCATTCTAATCCACCGGATTTAGCGGGCGACTTTTCTCGTGTGCTAATTCATCACTCGGTCATGCTCCATTGAATTTCGTCCCAACTATGGCGGCGGACTGTGCTGCGAATTAAATATTCCCATGATGCAACATGAAGTTGATGGCATTAATCTGTTTTTGTATGTTTATAAATAAATATAAGTAGATATATTTAGTAATATAATAAATATACAATAATATACTTATATAGATATAAGTGGTTGTTGGGTAGCTCTAGTCGACCATGCGCGAATCAAGAGGATGTGCCCTTACAGGAATTTAGCGCACACTTTGTCGCCACAACTCGGAACTTCTTCCATTTCTGCCTAAACGTTTGTACAAAACGTCTTCCTCTTCACTCGCTATTGATATCGACATTGCGGTCGATTGCTGTACGCTACGCAGTACTTAAACTCCCTATTGTTATATTGACTCGCTTGTGAGCGTGATCTCCTCTTTCAAACTAAGAGCTTAGATATGCCACCGGTGCTTATGTACAACAGCGGCGGCTCGGGCCTTTAAACGTTGGTGGTTTACCGAATAATGGCATTAAGGGGGGACTCTAATGCTGATACTGGTATACAATGAATTTTTATGTTCGTTTCAATTTCACATTTTTTTTTGCGAGACATTCTCATTTCCACATATCATTATTTAAATTAAACATTTATCATCAACATATCATTATTTAAACTTATAAATAAAGAACTTGTGTACTTACCTATTTGTAAAAGACGTCGGCACGCTTTCCTTGATCGTAGTATTTTGAGAACTCTTTCATTTAAGTCTGATATGTGGATAAGAAGTCATGCTCGATGGAAAGCTTGGCAAGAACTGATACTCTTATCTTCTCTCATTGTATTGCAAAGGTATGTAACTACCGTGTCCAACGAAAATAGAATCTATTTTTGTCTTGTCGTCCACACTGAGAGAGATTGTACTGCCAACTTCCACGGACAACAAATGTAAGATCCATTCATTCATGGTGAAGAATTTCGATTACATGCTTTTGCATATTCCTCTGTACAAAATTCTAAATGTAATGTAGAAATTCGGTTTGTGGATACTTACAAGAAAAATAAAATACGACTCTCATCTAACATATATCGTTACAGTTTGTAGTCTGTTAGAATGATTCAGAGCCCTGGCTGAGATGATGGAAATACAAACTCGCTGTCGAGCGGGTTAAGAACTGTGTCGCAGCAACACTTCGGTTAAGGTTGACTGATAACATTGCGACACCCACCCCACCTAAATGTAGTATATACACTAATATACTAAATTACGTACATTCATTCAAGAATTAATATGTACCAGCGTACCCGTTCGTGATCCCTGACATGTTAATCCCCACCATTTCCCAACCCTTTTCATTAAGAAGGAAAGTTGTTAATGAATCATGTTCATTGATGCTGTAATGAAATTAAACGATGTTCTTGAAACAATTCACACTTTCATAAAAACAACATTTGAAGTAATTATTTAGTCTTCCTTAACACTTCCTTTTCACTTTCCTTGTGAGTCACACAAATATTAGAAAAGGTTTTTACTCTTGAGAAAGCATAGTAAAGTTGTCAATTCGAGGATACAGGATCGAGCAAGTACCGTCCTTCTCTTTGAAATATTATTTTACTTTCCTGGATTTGGTATGAGGAACAGAGATGGTTTTGGAGGGGCTGGACACCAGCTTTCTGGAGTGCGAAAATTGAAAAATTATTTGTATACTAAAAAGCATTGGATTATTTTCTGCGTTCTTACGTACCACAAGAGAAGTAAATCCTAGCCAAAAAGTAATAAAACTAATATTTAACCCATTGTATAATAAATACGTTTGTTTTTATCAGAAACAATTCAGTAGGCTTCACTTCGTTACATGGTAATGTTGCTCAAACGATGTTTACTTATTGAATATCTTAGCGAACCGACACCGTAAGTTTAATATCAAACGGTGTATTATTTGCAATGTGAGTTTACAGCTGGACATTTATGTACAGACTTCCAGGTACTGCCAACATTTAAATCGTGCGTCTGAATTGTGATCGTTGGCAGTTGTCGATTGACTTTCGCTATTCTTTCTATACTTTTAAATTTGGTTGCTTTTTTAAATTACTTCACTTAGGGTAGCGCGTTTTGATTTTTGTTGTTCATTTATTTCAAGCTATTTTACTTTAGATACTTTAAAAAGATTGTTCTTTCTCGTTTTACCTCCGCATACCCGGTGAGAATTCTCGCATATTCAACCCCACACTCTTCGTTATCCTTCTATTTCCATTCTAAGAGGTAAAGTTGTTAACGAAACGTATTTATTTGTTTAAAAATGTATAAAATAAACTTCCAATGTACTGACACAATATTAAATAAAAATGAAAAACAATGCAATTGATGTTGAAATGAAATTTTCAATAAAGATTTATTCAGTATTATCGGGAGATTTTTTGAACACTTCACACTTCCTTAAAACAGCATTTAAAGTAATTATTCAATATTCTTTGACAGTTAGCTTTTCGCTTTTCGTGATAGTCTAAAACATATCAAAAAAAGATTTATACCCTTGTGACTAAAAATGCAGACTTGAAAGTTTTACAAAATCACTGCTGATAACGAAAATACTTGCACAGGTATTACACAAACCAAAGTACTGAACCAGCAAAATTTAATAGAATATCCAAAAATATCTCATCCTGTAGACTCGATATGAGAAACGTTTCCTTGAGGCTTTTGACCCCAAAATTTTAGATTTTAAGGCCATAAAATACTGTTTATACGTTTTTAAACAATATAGCTGATTGAGTTCTATGGGTTGCATTTGACATGAATATTTAGATGCGTTTCATGTACATGGGATAACTTCAAATTTGTTAAGTCAAAGTGCAATTTGTCACTTCTCCGTAGAATTATCTTTTTATAGAGACATTATTTATAAAGATCTGTGTGAAAGTCGCAAAAGGTATGTATTCTACTGAAATAATATAGGAGACGATTTTTTTAAAAAAATGGACCCTTCCCTCCATTTTACTAAACAAAAAGCATAGACATAATTAAAAACCATGGATTAGGACACTTGAGTGTTCCCCGTTATAACATACGGTTCACAAATGTGGTTGTTAACTGAAATCCCAACAATGTGACTGATGATGTAAACGGAAAATGAAATGAGAGATTCTGAACATCACGTTCAGCGACGAAGTACATAGCTGTATATTGTAACGGACAAAACAAAAATTAAATGTAGCACTATAAACAAAACAGATAAAATTACGCTGGGAAGGTCGTGAGGCTGAATCAAGAAAGAATGGCACAAGTCGCAACAATATGGTGTCCAAGACCGGAATGAAGAAGGCAAACAAAGAACAAGGTAGATTGATGAACTCA